ATAACAGTAGAAGTAAAATTAAGATCTATGCACCGCATTTTCTGGACTTTACTGAAGCTAAGCAGGGCAGGGCCTGGTTAGTAATGTGATGGGAGACCGTTTGGGAACAGCAGGTGCCACAGTGGGGCGGCTGCGGCCGCCCCACTGTAAAACGCCAAACTGTCCAAACTGTCATTGTGTCTTTTAGGCAAGACACTTCACCCACATTAGAATGATGATGATCCAAACTGGTCTAAACTGGACCAAGACTAGTTCAGAGCAATCTCAGTTTGTTAGTTACCATAGCGACTCAGTGTTTACTTGCACTAGTTTTGGCATGTACATTAAAAGCAGTGAGAAAAGCAAAAGTATTTTATTTGGGGGAGATTTTTTCAGAGTGTCATTGGTTTGAATGGGAGCCGTCAAATGGACTGCTCCGGGAGGTACAATAGTTTCCGTTAAAAAGTAGGAGGATTTTCTACATCCGAGTGGATCATCAAGACTATTGGTCCACCCACCTGTCAATCATTCTGGTGATACGTGCATGTCAAATAAGACCAGAGAGTTTACTTCTTTCCTAAAATCTGGGAACGTTTGGAAAAATCCTCTCGTATACAGTACCTTCAATTGCAGCTGTGGATTCGCCGCAAACAGCAACAGATTAGAAAAAAGTAAAGGCTTTTCATGTGGCAGATAGACGACTGTTTTACCCGTTTTAACCATTACACTGAAAAAAGTAAAATCTTGGTAATATTTATGTTCTAAAAATATAAAAAAATATGCATATTTTTTTAATGGCAAATGTTGTTGTTTGAATGTAGTTTGTCAAAAGATTATATTACTAGTTTTAAGATAATATTTCCCGCTCTATTGGCAGAAAGTGTATATTATTCTAAGCAGTATTTTACTCATTTTCAACTTAATTCATCTTTTTCTTATTTCTTTCAAGGGATTTTTCTCAGAGTATCTTCCATGACTCATTCAGCGTCTCTTTTGACAACAAACGAGAGTCCATATAAACTCTGCTCTGACACATTCCAACGTCACCACAAAGAACTAGACAAAAGTATCGTCTCTTAGTCCAAACACATTAGCAGCTCATCGTCCGAAGATTACGGTAATATTTAGTTCTCAAAGTTATTCTGCCGATAGAACGGTTATGTTTCGTCTAATTCCAGGCGCGGTGGCATTTGATTCTCATTAGATTCTCATTAGAGCGAGAGTGCTTTCTTTTTAGTACTTTGACCCAGGAGGTAAAGTGATCCCGGCGTTTGTGTGTGAGAAACAGAACTCAAAAGGTTAACGGAGGTTTTGGGTAAAAATGTCAAGAAACGTGTGCAATGGTCCAGGAACGGATTCATTTTGGAGGTGCTCCGGATCGCTGTGTGGACGGAGGACGGAGGGATGAGAAGTGTCTAGGCAGAGGTTTGCTCTCTACGAGTGCTAGTTGTTTAGTTCCATAAGTAAGTAATCTTTATTTATATAGCGCCTTTCACAGACCAGAGTCACAAAGCACTTTACAACTGTTATTTCCACGGCCCCGACTCCACTCGATTCGCTTTAGGCGCTACCCGGTACGGCTTGGCCCTGGTTCTAGCCGGGCCGAGTCGACACCAAAACAATCTGAGGCCTTTTTTGTGCATGTTTTTATTTTTATTTTTATTTTTTTTTATTTTTTTTTAAGTTTATTTGCAGAAAAAAAAGAAGACATACAAAACAACAGTGATACAAAAACATACATAGACATTCAGGTATACATAAAGGTGAACATACAGGTAGACGTACAGGTAGACGTTGTGCATGTTTTTAGCGGTAGGGGAAACCAGAGCACCCGGAGGAAACCTACGCAGACACGGGGAGAGCATGCAAACTTCACTCAGAAAGGCCTCGTTCCGACCGGGATTCGAACCCAGGACCTTCTTGTTGAGAAGCGAGAGTACTATCCACTCGCAACTAAATAATTAACTCACCTAAATAAACTTACAGATATTGCTTCTTTATGATGGTAGAGTTAGAGATGTTATTTCTATTTCAGAATGGAGTGACTGTTCATTGATCTTGGGCTCCTGTAACTGGTGATGCAACACTGGCATTTCTTACTTCTCTTCACACTCTCTCAATCTCTCATGTGTGTAGATAATACTGGGAAATGCTGTTCTAGATCTTCTTTGATTTAGGTAAGTCATAGAACATAGAAATCCTTCCTGGGTCTTTCATCACACACACACACACACAGACACACACACACACACACACACAGACAGACACACAGACACACATGGACACAGACACACACACACACACACACACACAGACAGAGAGATCCACACAGACACACACATACAGATCCACACAGAAACATAGATACACACACACACACACAGATACACACAGACACACACGGACACAGACACACACACACACAGACAGACGGATCCACACAGATACACACACACACACACACACACAGATACACACAGACACACAGACAGATCCACACAGACACACACACACAGACAGATCCACACAGACACACACACAGACAGATACACACAGACACACAGACACACACACACAGATCCACACAGACACACAGATACACACAGATACACACAGACAGATCCACACAGACACACAGATACACACACACACACACACACAGACACACACAGATACACACACACATAGAGACACACAGCTGGAGGGAGTGCGGACACAAAAGGACCGACTTGTTCTTTCTGACAGCGAAGGTGTCTCTCAAAATGGTCTTTAGACGAACACGCTGATAAGACCTGCCGCACAAGCACCCATCAGCGAGGGGGGAGGCACAGATAGGGGAGGGGGGGGGTGGTTGGCGGGGGAGAGGAGGACGCAGAAGAGGGAGGCAGAGGGGGGTGACGGCTCCCCCTGCTAGCTAAAGCTAACATTTGTATTTATTCATTTATTATGGATTGCCTCTTTGAGATGAATCTCTTTTTTGAGGGGGTCTTTAAAACCATTACTTTGCTCTGCTCCACAAAACAAAGGTTACAAAAATAGTTACCTAACAAAACACATGGGAATCAGACACAAGTTTTGAGACGTACAATATACATCAAAACACAATATTTTGACAGCATTTATTCTGCTCAGAAGGAGTTGGCCGAAGCATGAAGCTAATTAGCATAACCGTCCAAGCTCAATACGATCAACATTTATAAATAACAATAAAATAAGAACAAGGAGACAAAAGCCCGAGCCTAGTGGTGTGTACTTTTTATTTTATTTTTGTTATGATAGTTTTTGTGAATTTCTGGATTTGGATTTGATGAAATTACGTTTAATTTTCCGTTCTGCATTTTTGGTTTTTGTCTTCATTCCACCGCGAACTAACAAACTAACTACATCTGCACTTCCTGGATCATGGAAAAATCAATCAATCAAGTATTTGTAAAGCACAATTTGCGTACAAGGCAATTCAAAGTGCATGATGAAAATGCATTAAAAAGTCAATAAATATACAATTAGTTCATATGAAAATAGAGCGGCATAAAAGTATGGGGTTTAAAACAAATCAAAAAGTGGGTTTAAAAATAAAATAAAATCTATCACACATAGACACTTCTCTGCAGAACAAAACTATTTATCCAACTATTGCGTAATTGCTTCTTATTGTGAAAGTTGTTGTTGTGGTCGTGTGCCTCAAAGGAACGTCCTCCAACTTCTCTATAATTGATCGCGGCGGCTTCGTACAAGGTTAAGACTCAGCTGTGAGCGGCGCCTTTCATTTGTGGAGGCGAAATAAGTCACATCAAGGCCTTCGTTATGTTTGCAAATGTTAGAGTCACACGATTAGCTTTGTCGTGGTTTTAGTCTCTGCAGAGAAGCTCACAGCTCACAGGCCTTTGAGCAAGACGGACACTTCAGATTGATAGACAGATACTTTATTGATCCCTGTTGGAGAAATGCAGGTGTCCAGTAGCAGCAGAAACACATCCATCCACACAAACAAATAAATAGATGAATCTAAAAAGATAATAGTAATAATAAGCAACAGTCCTTGAGGTCACAGCAGCAGAGATGGAGCCGCTTGGTTCGGACCATTTTCTCTGCTCTGGTCAAATTTAGAAAAAGGCTAATTGTTTTGTTAGCATTATTCAAGAAATTAGCACTGAATTTTTGCCTGAACCACTTCGTTTGGACCATGAATCCTCTCTGCTCTGGTCTGGACCAGTGTGAAACCATGAATCCTCTCTGCTCTGGTCTGGACCAGTGTGAAACCATGAACACTGAACTGCAGCAACATCTCAGGCAGAAAAAGCAAGACAAATAAAAATGGTAAAACTCAAAACAAAAACAATTTTAGATTCCAGCGCATTCAAAAGTAACGTCAATGCAATGTCTTTATTTTACCAGGCTAGAAATCTCAGGGTCCTTTTAGGGTCCACGGAGAAAATCTGCTTGTTGTCCATATACGGTGTTAAGTCTGGTGTCCCTGTTAGTTCACCAGACTTGTGCAGAGACCGATCACCCGGATTGGAAAACAGTTTTGCCTGCAGGATCCACACCGTTCTGAGCCCATGAACTACTAGAGATACATAGTTATGAAGACCAAAAATGTACATACACCTCTTATACTCAAAGCCGTCAATTTGACTGCTCTGGAAGTCCTTGTGTGAAGAAATTCAACAAATATCTATTGCCCCTGGAGGGATAATAATGTGGTCTGAATCTACTTTGATTACTTGTTATAGCCAATTCCTAGTTTGTGACTTCCTGTTACTCTCAATGGCATTCAAAACAATTCTGATTCTGATTCTGACAAGCAGAAGAGGAATTCTAGTGTAATATCTGTTCTAAAATACAGTGCAGTAAAAGTTCAAAGTACTAACTACACACCCGCCTCTAAACACAAGAACTGTCCTTGGTTTTTGTTGAAAATCCTCTCACAGCTTCAACAACTGCATCTGTCACGCCACAAATGATGTCAATAACCCTCTTTCTTCTCTCAGTCCAGTCCACTTTTCTCTTTCTTTTTTTTTCTAGGATGATTGTGTCCAGTCGCACAGAGGAGCCGCGGAGTCAAGCTGCCGTCTGAACACAGGGGAAAGGACACGGACCGGGCTCGTCAACAGCTCTTGGCCCTCCGCGGGGGCCAGCGGCAATTTGGGCAGTTTGGCTTCAGCTGCCACTCACAAACACACCCGCTTTGGTCACTGACTCAGCAGGACCGTGAAACTGTCAGGTGCAAGAAAGAATCAAGAAATATACAGTTGTACAGAGCTCACAAGTAATTGTTGGAGTAGCTAAAGCAATACTCTCCAACTGGTGATATGTCGGGATATGGAAAGAGGGTCAGAGGCCTCAGTATGCATGACATTAGGGTTAGAGGCCTGTTTCTCTTCACACTTTTTAAGGCTCTGTGATTATTTATGATGGGATTTCTTTAATTTGACTTGTGTATGGACTGTGCTATACCATTAAACCTGCCTCTTCAAGCATTGCCTAGACCTGGTGTGTATGGTATGCAAGGATTGACAATAGTAAGCTTATTATTGTATTGCACACATGAAACATTACTTTTTCTTCCTTGGTTTTCAACAATCAGCTCCAATTGTTTTATTATAAAATTGTAATAGCATAATTGTAATATAATTGTAAACACACATGTATCCACTTTCAACTCTAAAACGGAGAAAACTTAAAGCTGTAGTTACCTTTGTTGTCCCTCAGGGTGAAGTTGAGGTTGCTGACGACCGGAGACGCCAGAGAGAAGTAGAAGCGGTGTCCACTCAGCGGCTCGTCCCGGTCCACAGCACTGATGGTCTGGATCACCTGTAACCACGGAGACCAGACAGGAAACATGTCAATCACCTGTTACCACGGAAACCAGACAGGAAGCATGCCACTTTTAAGCAACCAAGGAAACCAGACATGTCAACCGCCTGTAACCGTCGAAATAGACAACAAACGTGTCAGTAGCCATGGAAACACGATTGCAACAATGTCAATTGCCTGTAACCATGGAAAACAGAGAGCCAATGTACCAATCATTTGTAACCACGGAAACACGGCAATCACCTGTAACCAGGGAAATAGACAATAAACGTGTCTGTAACCACGGAAACCAAAAAGCAACTTTATCAATCTTCTGTTACCAAGGAAACCAGACAGCAAACGTGTCAATCCCCTGTAACCACGGAAACCATACAGCAAACATGTCAATCACCTGAAACCACGGGAACCTGTCAGCAGACATGTCGATCACCTGTAACCACGGAGACCAGACTGCAAACGTGTCAATCGTCTGTAACCACGGAAACCAAACAGCAAACATGCCAATCACCTGTAACCACGGGAACCTGTCAGCAGACATGTCAATCACCTGTAACCACGGAAACCAGTGTGGATGTGATCCTAGAATGATATTGTGTGTGTTTTGTATCATTTAGATCCGGTTCAGCACTTTCTCTGACCTCACATGAACTGTTTCTTTTCATTTAAAGCAGGGGTGCCCAAAGTGGGGCCCGCGGGCCAAAGTTGGCCCGCCAGACCATTTCAGTTGGCCAGCCAAACATTACCCACCTCCGCTATAAGTTTCTATCTGCGTCCCTCAGCCTCGCTGAACAAACAGTGGCTGTGTCCAAAACGCTAGGCATCGGGCCGCGTAGGGTGGATACGTAGGCATCGAGGGAAGGCCGCGTAGCCACAGGCGAGGTAGGAGGCGAGACGTGATGTGGATTTGGACAGCAGCTGCCTTCTGCCTTCGTCACGTGACTACACAACTCAGAGCGGAGCGGAGCGGAAGGACACGGCGGCCATGATGGACGGTAAAAAGTTCTAAATACGCTTTAATTAGGACATAAAAGTTAATTCTAATATCATTTGAGGCGAGAAATATCCCCCTCTATTGTCATATCAGAAGTCTGTTTGGAGATAAATTCGAAAATTTTCGGACTTTACCTCCAGCCTGAAGCTCCGGTGCTATAAGCTAACAGCCCAGTTAGCTGCAGTGCTGAAGCCCAGAACAGGCTGTCTAAACACGGGTTCAGGTAATGAGAGCCCCCTGGATGTTTACAATCGTATTCTGAAAAAACAGAGGATGCTTTTGTTGTTACACTTTCTCTGTTATAACAATTGTATTGGCAGTAATCATTAGATTTTACAAAGTTATATTTTATGTAAACAATGCACATATATGCAATAAATTATTATTAGATATGGATTATATATTTGCTATGGCCCTTGTTTGTGCATCACTTAAAAGTAATTTTATCAGACCTAATGTATTAACGTGTGTTTGCTGATGAGAGAGAAACATCAATTTATCTATAATAATAACTGGAACATCCATTTATCTATAATAATAACTGGAACATCCATTTATCTATAATAATAACTGACACATCCATTTATCTATAATAATAACTGACACATCCATGGATCTATAATAATAACTGGAACATCAATTTATCTATAATAATAATAACTGGAACATCCATCCAACATTATTAGATCTATAATAATAACTGACACATCCATGGATCTATAATAATAACTGACACATCCATGGAAACATTAACAGACATCTGTAAAATGGAGTTGAACACAGATGTTTGACACTGCTCTTATTCACTTTTATGTCTCTTGAAAAGCTAACAGACCGTTACTAATCACATTTGAGTTTAATGTATTCAATTATAAGTATAAGTATAAGTACTACTGACAAACATGTAGTTGTGTAAATAATACCTCACTTTGATGACTCTTTACATTTCACACAAACAACAAAATAATAATAAAACCAACAAGTTTGATTTTAGTTTTCTTTATTTCCAGGTTCTCTGAAGTGCTGTCGATGAGACCTGTGTCAGAGGCAGACGCCCAGGACTCTGCTGCTGCTGCTGCTGCTGCTCCTGCTGCTGCTCCTGCTGCTGCTGCTCCTGCTGCTGTTGCTCCTTCTGTTGCTCCTCCTGCTGCTGCTGCTCCTTCTGTTACTCCTCCTGTTGCTCCTTCTGCTGCTGCTGTTGCTCCTCCTGTTACTCCTCCTGTTGCTCCTTCTGCTGCTGCTGTTACTCCTCCTGTTGCTCCTCCTGTTGCTCCTTCTGCTGCTGCTGTTACTCCTCCTGTTGCTCCTTCTGCTGCTGCTGTTACTCCTCCTGTTGCTCCTTCTGCTGCTGCTGCTGTTACTCCTCCTGTTGCTCCTTCTGCTGCTGCTGTTACTCCTCCTGTTGCTCCTCCTGTTGCTCCTTCTGCTGCTGCTGTTACTCCTCCTGTTGCTCCTTCTGCTGCTGCTGTTACTCCTCCTGTTGCTCCTTCTGCTGCTGCTGCTGTTACTCCTCCTGTTGCTCCTTCTGCTGCTGCTGTTACTCCTCCTGTTGCTCCTCCTGTTGCTCCTTCTGCTGTTGCTGTTACTCCTCCTGTTGCTCCTCCTGTTGCTCCTTCTGCTGCTGCTGCTGTTACTCCTCCTGTTGCTCCTCCTGTTGCTCCTTCTGCTACATGTCTTCAGAGATGCAGAGCCCACTGTTCTAACTATTCATGACTGCTGATTAAAGGAAAATATTATATACAAGTTTGTTGTAGTTCATAATGTTTTCAGCAGTGAAGCAGGAGGTGAAGCAGGAGGTGATGGAGGTGAAGCAGGAGGTGATGGAGGTGAAGCAGGAGGTGATGGAGGTGAAGCAGGACGTGAAGCTGGAGAAATTATGACCTTAATTTCACCACAAGTCTCTGAAAAAGAAGAACACAAACATCATGCATTAAAACACAGCCCACATTTAGGATTCTTTTCACACTTCATATTCAACTAATACTATTTATTTGGGGCTTTGCAAAAAACTGGTTAAAAATAAAAGACAGAAATCCTTACAGTATTTAATATTAGAGATACAAGCTTCACAGCAGGGGAAACAGAAGAATGATATGATAGAAATATACACAAATAATCAAGTTATGAGCATGGCTAACCACTTTAAACCTGTGTTTGTGGAAGTGGGACTTTGTCCTCTGCAAATGTCTTATTCATGACAAACGAAACCTCTGTATAATGTGTGTTTACTATTTATTAGACTATTGTATGAAAAGGGCTTTATAATTATTCTTGGCCTATTCTATAATTTCATATGTCTAATATATACAGTTTTCCCAGTCTCAGTATGGGATTAAAAACGATATGCACAATCTATTTTATATGAATACAGAAAACATGTGTTAGCATACTATAGCTGCTGTGCTGCAGAGTGATTTTTCATGAAAACGTGACTTTCCTCAGTGTAGCTTTAATATTTAATCAGTGGGTTTGTTTCTCCCTAAAAGATAAAACACAACATGATTTTTCTTGTTCAAAAACCGAATCTGAATGAACTAGCTAGCCTCGTAGCATTAGCTTTTCGGGACTGAGCTTATTTACAGCAGATAACAAGGTTAAATACACACATCTGTGGCAGATCTAACTTATGTCTGTGTTTTATCATAACAGTCGTGTTCATAACTCAACAGTAAAGTATAGCAGTACTTACTATAGACATAACTTCACAGTAAAGTATAGCAGTACTTACTATAGACATAACTTCACAGTAAAGTATAGCAGTGCTTACCATAATGTTAGCTCCAGCAGGTCCGAGCTGTTGTTTACATGTTAATGCCAAACGGAGTTCTGCGCATGCGCGGCCGTGACTTGGCAAAAAGAAGGCAGCGAAGCATACATCAGATGCATCCTTCATATCTGCTCCAAAAGTGGCCGTTTCCATAGAGACGAAGTCACGATGCCTACGCTTGGCGAGCTCGCCAAGTGGTTTTGGACACCCCTGCAATAGCCGTCGCTTGAGGAAGTGACGTCACGAGCCTACATATCCACCCTACGCGGCCCGATGCCTAGCGTTTTGGACACAGCCAGTGACATGTCTGAGGTCGCGCGGGCGCTCAAACGCCCTCTGAACAGAGACTGTCCAGTACTTTACTGTTGTATCGAGATACACTCCTCACTCATGGTTCACATCAACTTGCACTAAAATGTTTTTAAAATCAAACACATCTTTCAAAACAATTGGGTGCAAGGCCCATTTATGTTTTTTTTCAGCCTACTATTATTATTTTTTGGAGCTATTTAATGTTTTATCAAATTGAGAGGATTGTGCTGGCGAACTGCCACTCCCCCTCCTCACCGGAGGGAAATGGCGAGTGGAACTATTCACCTGCGCAATCCGCACCCACCCGGTGTGTTAAAAAAGACGGACACACTCACTTCAGAGTGAGTTCAAGCAGGACAAGCAGGGATCGCAGCGCACGATCCACGTAAGGAGAAGCAACAAATACTGTGCAAAACAAACCCTTCTACAGCCCCATGAAAGAAGCCGGTAAGCGCCGTCCTCACTCGCGATCATTGAATGTCAGAACTTACGCGGAGTTTTATGATGCGTTCAAGAATGTATTGTTTAAAAGTGTGCTAAAACCAGATCTATTGATCAGTGATGTCTCCCCTTTTTGATAAAAGCTAAGATAAAGTAATATGATTCAAATTTAGTTAAAAACTTTTGTTCAAAATAAATATATGAAAATAGACTTGGAAATTGCTTTGGCTCAGTGCAACAGAGATAATAAAAATAAAGAATAAAAAACACTTCTAAGGAATAAATTTAAATTTAAAATAGAGTTACAGTTACTATTTACAATATACAAGTGCACATGGTGCACACAAAATGTATGTTTCTGTTCTCTTTTTGAGGTTTTATGATATGATTTTAACCTTTAAATAAGGTTTAAATAAGGTCCTCTGGACCCTGATTATCCGGCCGGAATCTTTCCGTACTGTAGTCTCCTCAAACCTGCATATTTCCCTGGAGCCTCCACTTCACTAATCAATCAATCAACGTTTATTTATAGAGCGCCTTTCCTACACAAGGCAACGCAAAGCGCCTCACAACCCATATAACATCATGCATAAATCATCAAACATTAGAATTTAAGTAAACATAAAAAGACAGATTAAGAGCACAAGATATATAAAATCACACAAGTAGTTAAAAACCGTAAAAAATTAAAATCACACAAGGGATTACAATCATAAATAATCATAAATAATCATAGCGCATTAAAAAGATTAAAGATAAAAACAAATGTAAAATCATTCACTTGTATGCACAGCTAAAAAGAACTGTTTTCAGTTCAGTTTTAAAAACTGCTAGAGTAGACGCCTGTCTCACACTCTCGGGAAGACGGTTCCAGACTCTAGCTGCATGAATCTGAAACGCAGCCTCCCCATGTCTAGTTCCGACTCTTGGCACTAACAGAAGTCCAGTCCCTGTGCTCCTCAGAGCCCGAGTTGGTTCATATGGCACCAACATGTCGCGGATGTACCCTGGTGCGAGGCCATGGAGAGACTTGTACACAAGTAAAGCTACTTTAAAATCTATTCTCTGAGCCACAGGAAGCCAGTGCAGAGACCTGAGGACCGGACTAATGTGGTCGTACTTCCTGGTTCTAGTCAGGACTCGAGCTGCAGCATTTTGGATGTACTGCAGCTGTTTTACCGCTTGTTTAGAGAGACCTGTGAACAAGCCATTGCAGTAGTCCAATCGACTGGAGACAAATGCGTGGATAAGAATCTCCAAGTCTGCTTTAGACACAATGTTTTTAATTTTAGCAATGTTTCTTAGGTGGAAGTAAGCTGATGATGTCACAGATGATATGTGGCTATTGAAATTCAAGTCTGAGTCCAGTCTAAGACTGTGTTGTTTTCATTCATTCAGCTGTGATTTGCACTGATAGACAATAATTAATGCATTTAAAAGAACTTGATCAAATCTACATTTATTTGTGTTTCATGCGTAATATTGGTGTATTTGGCCCGCGGCCCACTGGCAAATTTTTACTTTGGCCCTTGGAAGCAAAAGGTTTGGGCACCCCTGATTTAAAGAATCAGAGCCAGATGTTTCCCTCTTTTTCAAACACACATATTTGTTTTGATTCCAGGCGGATCTGAATCTGAACTTGTGGGAGATGAAACGGGGGCCGAGACTGACGTTGATCTGAATAAAAATAACAACTTTTAAAAAACAAACAAAACAAAAATACAGAAAAATGTTGGAATTTTCAAAACAAAATGGCTGCAAGCTGAAGGTTGTTGGAGCTGCTTCCTCCGGACTCCTGTGGGCTGTGAGTGCCGAGGAGTCAAGCAACCAACACCATCTCAGTAAGATACAAAAAATAATAATGGTCGTTTTTGAGGTCAATATTTGTCTGGCTTCTATTTATTGGAAAGAAAACATAGATATTTTTGCTGTATAATAAGATTTTTATCAATCATTGTTCCTTTAAACTACTTCTTCATGTAATATGGGTCTGTTCATTGCTATTCACCCGCTGTCTGTTTCATGGCGTGATGATGGGACCCCTGAATCCGGCCTCTTTCATTTGCGCCTGTGGACTGGTCTCCCCCGGCCCAGACTCGTGAGCTGCCCCCCCTGGTTCTACAGTGATGATCCAGGACTTTTATTCACATTTCTGGACCATGGTCGCCCCGCTCTCTATGGACCAATGGATTCTCCTTAATATTTACATCCATACAACGCACGTGTATTTACAAATGTAGGTTGTATCGCCCCATACTCTACCAAACAAAACAAAAGTTACATGCAAAGTTACATAGCAAAAAACATGGATATTTAGTTTTTGGTGAATTGACAAATTTGTAAAGTGCTCGGAGACGACTGCTGCTGTGATTTATGGCTATACACAAAACCTTTGAATTGAATTATGGGTATTATTACAATTTCACGAATGTATATTATCGATTTTATGTCAGTAAAATCTGTGTATCTCAACATTTTTCGCCCTTTTTTTCACAAATTTTAACATTATTTGAGTCATATATATTTTCATCAGGCATAGCTCCAGCAAAATAAGTCATAATGATGAAATATTGCAAATCTGTCACAAGCACTTTCTTCCAAATCCCTTTTGAATGTATTAGAAAATTGCAAATGTTTTTGTTTTTGTGACTTTAGACAGAAAAGACACTCAAAATAAATCTCACATAATGTAAAAGATTAGGATGATAAATTGTTGTTTTGGCTTCTGGTCTCCTCTTGAGAACAAAGTAGCGACTGGGAAATGTTCTCTCCATCGGATTACTGTCAGAATCCCTGTCGACACCAGGACGAGCGTGGGATACCATTGGTTTGGCTGCTTTTTGATTCGCAAATGAGTTCTGTAGAAGTTTTTTCATACAGACAAGCAAATACAGGTTCAAAGACTGTTCTGGTTTCTCAGACAAGCACAAATGGTACCACGATACAAAGGCTACTCTTCAAAAGAAAGATGTCTTAATGTCACATTTGTCGGCTGTTTTTCTACCTCTACTTTTTTTGGCGACTTTGGATTCAGATATTTTTGCAGTCACAGCTATTGAGACTAAAGACATCTCTCCAAGTCGAGTCTGTCTGTAAGCTTTATGGTGGGGTTTACAAGTATTCTTAGTCACCACTGCTACATTAGCGCCATATTGATCAAATGTTGCACAAACAAAGTAGGACAAATACAAAAAAAGTCAAGAAATGGATTCAAGAGTTTCTGATCTTCATGACAATATATTGCATGTTTATATTGGTGGAGCTGAGTTGGTTTATCTGTGTTAGCAAGACAGAGAGGGCCACTTACCAAGGTACAGGGGCCGCATTTGACCCGCGGGCCTTAGCTTGGACATGTCTGTCTTAGACCAATCTCAAAGGAAAAAACGACAGAAGATACATTTGTGTCTTAGTCATTGTTGCTCACATTATACCAGAATAAAAGAAGAATACAGACATCAAACTAGATCTAAAATTCATGGTAATACAGTAGATAATAAAATAATGAAATAACTAAACTATCTCTGGAGCTATTGGAAAAGTCACTTGTGGAGTTTACACTTTAGTTTGCAATCAAGAAGTTTTTGATGGTCAATTTTGTACTTTAGCAGTAGAGATTAGACTAGAATACACAGTAATATTAGCAGAAGATAGCAGTGACTTGTGAATTGAAGAGATGAGTGGCTTATGTACAGGCTGAGCAGTTCTCGTTGTACAGTCTGACAGCTAAACAAGTTCCTATTATTTTCCAGAAATATATTAAGATCCGACCTTAGACATGGCAAAGAATCACAATCATTACTCACTCCAGCTTCGCAAAAACAACAAAACGCAGGTCAATTATGGGTTGTTTTCTGAACCACAGTCTCCTTAAAGCGTTCCCACTTCATTATTTCATTAAAAATGGAAGTGTTAATGATAAGAAGTGCTTTGGCTCGTGGCGATGTGAGACAAGCATTCAAAATCAACGCCACGCTACTTTACTCTGCCTCTGAACTGTTGCCTCAATTTCCATTGCGGGGTTGACAAGTATAAATTATGCAGCAAATCAAATGATAAAATGAGCCAATTTATTTACGCCCCCGCTAGTACGAGCCGTAATGATATTTTATCTATACGGGCTCGCGATCGCTCAGAGACGTCCGTGCCAAGATCCAGTATAGGCAGCCGAGACTCAGCCAATGTACTCTTGGAAAGGATACCGGAAAGACGTTGGTATCATGTGGGTAATTAAGAGAAGGGTGAGGTCTGTG